ATATTTAATAATGTCACCTGGTTCCAAAAAAATCTACTTGAGAGAGTACGAATCTGCAAACAATAAGAGAAAGAGAAAGAGAAAGAGAATGAGAATGAGATTCAAAGTTCTATTACTTGTAATTTAAACAATTATATGTATAAAGACAGTTACCAAACTAATTAATTTATATATCACATAATATGCCTTCAACATCTATCCTTGCAAAATTCTCATCCTCCTCATGATTGTCTTCAAGTTGTGCTACATCCAATGGAATAGTTGCCCATAAGAAGTATCTTCTTCCATATGTAACGCGTGAAAGTCTCTTGATGATGCTTGCAAAACAACATACCAATTAGATGTTTCATTCTCCCTAGAATAAAAAACTTGTTTCGCCTGTGATGCCAAAATGAAAGGATCATTTTCAAATTGCCCCTATCCCTGATAAAGGTTAACCAAAGTGAATCCATCTTCCTTCTTTATTCCATTCACAATATTTGCCCAATCACACCAGAATATTGGAATATGAAATGTATTGTAGTCAAGCACTATAATATCGCGCAAAACTCCATAATAAAGAACTTTCCCAACAACATGTGCAGTATATTTTGCACTAGATCTACATATGGTTGTTGCTTCAACTAAGATGCCACTGTTTTGGCGAAAGTTTTCAGCATCTTTAGTGTGAAATCGAAATCCATTTCTTACAAAACTGGAATATGACATAGACTGACATCTAGGACCACGTGCAAGCCACAAAGTATTTGAAACATTGTCCAGCAACAATTGACCTGTAATCTGTTATTATTATAAACACGTTAGGAATGAGAGAATAAACAACAGAATTAAACACTAATCTTGTCGATATATATACTTCAACCTTATTGTGCAACCAGGTAGCAAACGTGTCAACATGTTTCTTATGCAACAAATTCTCATTTCTTCCAAATTGTTTGTCAGAACTCTTGAGTTCATCCATATGCATCCTAAGTAAAAAACAATATATCAAGAAATCCCAAAGAACTTAAAATCTCAAAAAATATATACTTCACGAACATACTGTACGTATGGAGCCACTTCTACACTATTTAGCAATACATAGCAATGGGCAACGTTCAACATCTCATCAGATAGTACAAGTGGCTTCCCTTTAGAAATTGGACGCCCTGCAACTAAGAAGTCACTCTCATACTCTTCATTGTGTGCAGTCTTAGAGCCGATTGCAGATGCTTGTTTTATGTATTTGCTACAAAACATCACATTTTCTTCAAAATATATCGTTCAGCTATGCACCCTTCAGGTCTTGCATGATTCATAACATATCCTTTCAACACTTTCATATACCTACACATTTTTCAAAAAACGTAATAAAATAGAAATCAATTTGATAGTGGATTTAATTTCTGGGAATAAAGAGTACTACCTCTCAAATGAGTACATCCAACAATATTGAACTGGTCCACATAGACGAACTTTTCTTCCAATATGAATTGTTAAATGAACCATTATATCGAAAAATGAAGGTGGAAAATACCTTTCCAACATGCACAAAGTTTTAGAAACATCCTCTTCTAAAATTTCAACCTTTTTCCTATTTACAACTCCTTGACAGATTTCATTGAAAAATGAACACAATTTAAAAATGGAGTTCCTTGGTCCTTTAGGAAGAAGTCTGTTCAATGCAACTGATAGTAATTGTTGCATTAAAAGGTGACAATCATGAGACTTCAGTCCAACTATCTTACATTCTTTCACTGAAATGCAATTTGCAATATTAGAACCATAACCATCAGGTAATCTCAAGGTAGCACGCCTTTTACAAAACATTTGTTTTTCAGCTTTTGATAAAGTGTGAGGAGCTGTAGATAAGTAAAATTTATTTCCTCTACTCTCAGGATGTAGATCATGCCTATATTCATAGCTTCCAAGTCCTTACGACAGTTAATGCCATCTTTCGATTTTCCTTTCACATTCAAAAGTGTATTATTAATGATGCTCTCACAAATATTCTTTTCCACGTGCATCACATCTAAATTATGACGTATAAGCAAAGTCTGCAAATCAAACATTACTTGTGTCATGAGATACTACACGCAATTAGATGTATTAAAAAAAGGAAATGACATAAATAGAGTTACCTTCCAATATGGTAGCCTGAAAAATATTGACTTTTTCTTCCACGTTACATTGAATTGAGTCGTATTCTTCTTTCTCTTTCGCTTACCACTTTTGCCCAATCATTTACAATTTTATCAACTTCACTGGAATCTTCTTCACCAGTTTTTATCTTTGGCCTAATGCCATTTTCAATGTGTTCATCAAACTAGCTCCTTTTCATGCGAAATGGATGACTCAATGCTAGAAATCTTCTATGTCCCATGTATGCTAACTTCCT